CCGTTATTGATTGTTGAGAGAGATCTCGCGCCAACAGTTACGCGGCACCGCGTGCATTTATACGACACACGCACAGGCCGCACGCACGCGCGCATATACGCGCACGCGTGCATATACACACACGCACAGGCGCACGCACGCGCGCATATACGCGCACAAGCGTGCGATATACAGCACACACAGGGCGCCACGCACGCGCGCAGTATACGCGCCATACACACACACGCACGGGCGCCCGCACGCGCGCATATACGCGCATACACACTCACGCACCGGCGCAACGCAACGGCGTGCATATATACGCGCATACGCACACACGGCACGCGCGCGCACGCCACGCGCGCAATATACGCCCATACACACACACCGCACAGGCGACGCAACGGCACGCGCGCATAATACGTCCGCATAACCATACACACGCACGGTGCGCACGCACGCGCGCATATACGCGCATACACGAACTACGACTTCAATACGCACTACTGTTCTACTTAGCTACTGCTGCTATGACTAGCTGGTGCTGCTACTACTATTACTACACTACTACTCACTACTCTAACTACTGACTTACTACTAATACTGATACTAAATACTTAAATACTAATTACTAAATAACGAATACTTCTGGTTCATTCTTACTTCTGGTACTTCTTCTTCTTCTATCTCTAATCTTACTTCTTGTACTATCTCTATCTATCTGATCTTCTCTTCTACTCTTCTTTCTTCACTTCTTCTATCTTATCTGTCTTCTTCTCTTCTTCTTCTTCTTCATTCTTCTCTTCTTCTTCTTCTTCTTCTTCTCTCTTCTTCTTCTTGTTCTTCTTCTTCTGCTTCTTCTTCTTCTTCTTACTTTACTACTCTACTACTACTACTGACGTACTACCTTACTTACTACTACGTACCTACTACTTACTACTCTACTACTACTTCACTACTACTACTACTACTACTACTACTACTGCTACTGCTACTACTATTACTACTATTGCTACAGCTACTACTACTACTATTGCTACTGCTTCGATTCGCAGACATGTCAGGCGCGGGGCAAAAAAACGCTCTCGGGCGGATAAACATGACGGAGTTCGCGGACAGTGGCGACATATCTTGTCTAGCCGACAATATCGGAAAGCGCTCGTCCATACAGCACTCACACGTCGCTAAACACGGGCCAGGCTATCGTCAGTCCTCATAGACGCTGATAGATTGCATCAAGAGCTAATACTACCTAGATAGTAATATACATAAAATAGTAATATTAGCTATTATTACTATTATATAGTATTATTAGCTATTAATACCTTAATAGTAATAAATAACATAGTAATAATAGGTAATATTAGCTCTTGCTACAAGCCGCTACGAGCACGACAACAACACCAATACCACCGCCGCCGCCGTCGTCGTCGTCGTCGTCGTCGTCGTCGCCGTCGTCTTTGAAATCGTATCGCGCTCATCCTGACTGTTCCTCCATCATTATCGCTATTTAATTTCGGTAATTAAAACGTGCGCGTTAATGGCGGGATTCGGGCGCGCATGATGACTGGCAGCACGTATATAAGGATCGTGATAGTTCGACATAGATTGCTATTTAATTTCGTTAAGTGAAACGTGCGTGTTAATTGCGTAATTCAAGCGCATGATGACTGGCAGCACGTATTAGGATGGTGAGAGATCGACATAGATTGCTATTTAATTTAGTTAATTAAAACGTGCGTGTTAAATTTGCGTTTAGGTGAAAGAGCATTGGCAGTATATAGCGGTGGCCATGGACCAACATACACTGTTATTTAATTATAATAATTAATGCGTACGTTTTAATTTCTGCTCTCAGGTGAAGGAAGACTGGCAGTACACAACGATAGTTAAATATTGACATATATGGTTATTTAAAAATTCATAATAATTAATACGTATTAATTTTAATTTTTGCTCTTTGGTGAAGGAGCATTGTCAGTACACAGCGATGCATGGCCATGTGCCAATATATACTGTTATTTAATAATGGAAATTCATGCATACGTTTTAATTTCTGCTCTCAGGCAAAGGAGGACTGGCAGTACACAACGATTGTTATAGATTGACATTGATTGTCATTTAACTATGATAATTAATGCATACGTTTTTATTTCTGCTCTCAGGCGAATGAGGACTGGCAGTAGACCTACATAGCGATGGTTATAGATTGACATCGATTGTCATTTAGCTATGATAATAAATGCGTGCGTTTTTATATTTACTTTCAGGTGAAGGAGCATTGGCAGTACATAGCGATGGCCATGCACCAATATATACTGTTATTTAACTATGATAATTAATGCGCATATTTTTATTTCTTCTCTCAGGTGAAGGAGGACTGGCAGTACATAGCGATGGTCATTGATCGACTGTTACTCTACATTTTCTTCGCCGTCACTGCCAGCGGCACGTTGGGACTCATCCTCAAGGCACCCTACATCTTCGACTACGTCGACCAGGAGGAGGTCATGAAGAGGCTGCGCGGGGAGGAGACCTGAGAGACGACGCCGCCGACGACGACGACGACGATGACGTCTTCACCACGTGACCCGCCGCCGCCGGTCACCGATTTTTCGACGTGTCGGTTTACGACGTCGTCCGACGGAGGGCGCTAGCATCGCCGCGCGTTCGGAGCAAAGATGGCGGCGCGCATCAGGGGAAACCACGTTGCGTATCCATCGCGTCATCACGCGATGCAGAAGATACGTGCCGATTAGAACTGTTACGGCGGTCGTCGATGGAGAGCAGGGGCGACACATTCGCATCGCTGTCTCCAGCGTGAGATGTCAGCGTAATCGATATCGTCTCTTGATATCATCTGACGATATCGGACGCTACCGCCCCGATTTTTCTCTCGCATGAGTTATGTCAATGCGGTGTGAGCGAGGGCCGAGTGTTTCACGAGTGGCTCTCTCTCTCTCTCTCTCTCTGCCGAACGTCGGATACCCGGATAGACGTCGGTACGGAGTTATTTGTTTGACGTACCCTTATATATCTCGGTGGTGGAGACGTAGTGACGTCTCGAATCGGCAGCGAGGTGTTTGCTACCGAGAATATAAGCGCGACGATGGCGATATAGCAAATTATCTTTTTTTTTCTAATGATAAACACGGCGTTCTTACATCCGGTCCGTCATTTCCGGTCCGCCATTAATTTTCGTTTAAATACAGTAACAAAATAACATCATATCTTTGAGAAGGTCCGTCGGCGACACGATGGTCGCATTTGCGATTGCCTGAATTTAAGGCGACGCTCGCGTCTTCTGTGTCGACGTCATACGGTGTCGCGTGTCAAACGAGGGGCAAAGACCTGACGTCATTGCCACGTGGTAGACGCGCGTGTGAGAGAGACTCATTTACAAAGCAAACGAGCTTCCAACGTTGGTAGCTTTTTACTGTGTGTTGTTGTAACTTTGTAATAAATAACCCGTTGTTGCCGTGTTATAAGTGATGTCAATAACGTGTGCACAGCGCGTGCATACATTAACACTTTGAAACCGCTAATATCTATATATAAATATACCAGCCTGGCTCTGATCTTCGATCAGACAGATGTTGGATGATCACTGTATATGCGTCAGTAATTGTAAGTAACAGCAGTACACGAGTTAAGGCGCTACTGCTATACTTGCTTCGCCGAATTAATCCGAAGGTGTGTGATGCATACATATATTGTTTGTCCTCAGTGAAGTGTTATCCTTTTTCTATCACTAGTATTTGACCTTTTCGCTAATCGTGCTCATCGCATCGCGTTCGCATCCATTTTGAATTTCGTTGTATGCATCCTATGAAGCTGTTAAAGAAATGACGTTGATGACGATGTATGAGCGAGGACGTACAGGAGAGAAGCGTGTGTGTTCGTGTGTGCACGCGCGCGTGCGTGCGTGCGTGCGTGCGTGTGCGTGCGCGCATGCTACTACTGTGTCTTCGTTTCGGGGTATGCTGTTCATCCAGCATCTAAGTTGTACGCACTTTTGCGGCGTTTTTTCTTGTATACATGAGCGCGACTGATTGACTGATTATAGGCATAGTCCTAGTTATAACCCATAGTAACATTAACTAAAAAAAATCACTATGAGTTTTTGTACATTGCATGTCAAGCCGCTTGCCGTTATATTCATGTTTTTGTTGCGTAGGAAATTATTTATTGTTTACCGTATTTGGCCTTACCGTATGCGTAATGCATCTTACTTGCGTTTACCGACGTCATCGTAATTAGGCCGGTAATATTAATTAGTATAGCGTTTGATTTGCTAACCGAATGAGTGAGTGCTGTTACGAATGCGTTTACCTGAAACTAACATACGGGAATCCGAACCCGTAAGATAATCGGATTCGGAATCGGTTAATTGTACGGCACCTGATCGAGTCCGTCTTAATTTGGAATAACTTGGTACTGTCGTCATGGAAACGCATTTTCCTCGCGAAGGGCGTATATCGTGTGGGATGGTAATTGTATCGCACTTGTAGCTACGTGTACGGGGTATGTTTCCATGCACCTGTATGAGATAACAATCTCTGACCAACCGACCGTGCCGCTGCGAATTCGAATCGCGTGTGTATGAAGTGGCGCGTATGCTATAATATTCGGCTATACGTCGTTACACCGTTACTGGCGCATGACAATTCATTAGATAAAAAATGCGCACACAGGCAGATGCATTGTGGGATACGACCATGTGGGTGGGGTGGGGCGGGGGCGGGGGCGGGGGTTGACAGAACATCATGTGGCTGTTAATTTACTGCTCTATCGAATTTTGTGCGGCGCACTCTCCTTCTCACCGACACTGACTATTGGTGTGTCGATATAGATTGTTTAAGACCTATACGGGGAGTTCCACAATCCGCCAATCTACTTCGAATATTGCGCAGAAGTTTCGCGTTGTGATAACGTGAAGGGATTGAATAGAGAGAGAGAGAAGGAAGGCGCGCGAGAGAGAGGTAGACGCGGCAGGCGCCGGCGAGTGATATGGAAAGAAAGGGAGAGAAATGCGAGAACGAACGAGCTAGATAGAACGCGTGGGATTCGGGGAGAGGGAGAACGAGAGAAGAGGAAAGACGCCAGGAAGGTAGAAAGGAGAGATGATATTCGAGCGGTCTATAGCGAGACATGACAATAAGTTGGAGATGTGTCGGTTGAGTGAATTACAGATGAGTATGGCGGGTACTGGTAAGTGCAAAATATAAAAGGAGAGATCTTTAAACGTACAGATGGCATATGACCGCGGCATACAATGCCATCCACACCTCACCCATCGCCAGCTCAACCTAGAAGAACTTTGTGTTGAAACACAATTAAGTGCAATCTAGAAGATACCACAAGCAAAGTTGTGTTGAAATATACCTACTTCACTGCCGACGAAGAACTTCCATGACCTTCGCTGATTCGGATGTAACAATGAAGATGACAAAACTATCATTTGTAACGATCTCGCTTGCCGATATTCTAACGTCTCTCTACCGTCTGTTCCTGTACGCACATGTTCATGTATGTATGGGTGTAAGCAAGAGTAGATAATAACAAGAGTGCGGCACCCGATTCCCGCATTTGTAACCGATTTTTCTCATCAAAATTTGCCACCAATAAAGAAGTGGCGGCCAGTGAGGCGGTCGGTGCGGCGGTAAGTGCGGCGGCGGTTAGTGCGGCGGCGGTCAGTACGGCGGTCAGTGCGGCGGTCAGTGAGGCGGTCGGTGCGGCGGTAAGTGCGGCGGCGGTTAGTGCGGCGGCGGTCAGTGCGGCGGCGGTCAGTGCGGCGGTCAGTGAGGGAGTTACGCTCTCGCTCGTTGCTGCTGCGGTCGAGAGAACGCGAGAGCAGCTCTCGTCTCGCTATTTGTCCCGACGATCATCTCGCGAATGATTTCGAAAGTTTTCGAGCACTTTGCCGATAAGCATTCGTAATGAACGAGTTAATGACGTCTCGATGCAATCACGCGTCGCTCGTTAGGCGGAGAAAATTGCATCAATTAAAAATTGCGTCGATTTCTATTTTTAATTCGCGCTTCTCGGGTCTCGCGAGAATCGATGCAGACGACACCACCAGGCGCAGCCAAGTGATAGATCATGCAAATGGCGGCAATGCGCTAATGGATTTGAATCCATTGGAAAGATTTCGTCACGTAGATCAAATTATTCAACTGCGAAACTTGGTATTACGGGAAGCAGCTAGCAACGAATGTCGTGTGTATAGTAGGGGAAGGAGTGATGACGAGTAGTCGGCGAGGTAGAGGGCGTAGGACGGAGAAGATGGAAAGCTGTTGGTACAGGACGAAAACTACACGCGGCTAACGAATCGATTAGACAAAAATACGAGCAAATATGTCTCGCATTTCGCTGCTTCATCTCTCGATTAGGTCGTTGCGTGCCTCATTGCTCGAAGCGGAATCGAGTCATCGAAAGAGTTCCGCTTCGTACTTCCCATTCAATCGATGTCGTGGTCGGCTACAGTATGTTAGCTAAGTGCTTAGCAATTCCTATGTGTTTGCGTAGTGTGTAAGTATGGATACGTTTTAATGTGGTTTTTTTAATCATTTTTTCCGGATTTGGTTTCTCGGCTGTGCATCGCTATCTCAAGTATATATGATCGGATTAGTAATTAGGAATTATTTCCAAATATCTTTAAATATTTCTAAATTTCTCGGAATATTTATAAATATTTCTAATATCTCGAAATAACTAACAGAGAATCGGTGCTTGATTTGAGGTGTAATTTGAGCGAATCCTGCCTGGCTTTCGCTATACAAGTTTATTTCTCATTCCCCACCTCTCCCTCTCCCTCTCCCCCCCTCTCTCTCTCTCTCTCTCTCTCTTTCTCTCGCTCTCTCGCTCTCTCTGTCTCTCTCCCTCGCGCGCGCTCTCTCTCTCTCTTTCTCTTTCTCGCTCTCTCTCTCTCTCTCCCTCGCGCGCGCTCTCTCTCTCTTTTTCTCTGTCTCGCTCTCTCTCTCTCTCTCTCTCTCTCT